TTTTTTTTTTTTTTTTTTTTAGGAATAATATTTCTTCTTTTCGAAACTATCCAAATGTTTTATCTTTTTTCATCCTCCATGCCTGTTGAAAGGCAAAATCCAAAATTATGTAAATTAACTGAAAAATGTGCCAACTCGATGGATTAAAATTCTTCTGAAATTCTGCACATCTATATCTATAGGGGAATCGCGTTGTTGTTACAGTTGTCCAGTAGATGGTGAAATTATGGGACAATTCACGTACAACGAGGATAAAACGGAGGCAAAGGTGAACTTCCAGGCGCATAAATTCCCCTATACAGCCAGTGTCTACTATCAGTGCAACGTCAGATTATGTGTAAAACACGGTGGAGGATGCGGCAATACGGTAATTAAAATTCTGTTCTTCGTTTAGAAAACTAAGAAAGAATAACATAATTACTAGACCGATGTCTTCTATACATACATATAGTTCCATGTTTCTGGAACACAAGAATAGAGAGACACACTGTGTTAATTGTTATTTAAGTGTCTTCTTTACAATTTTATGAGTATTTTTATGAATATAATCAAAGAGATGGTCTTTCGATATTTTCACATTCTTAAATTCCACGCAAACGCGTAAAATTTCTGTAACAACTGAAGACAGATCCCACGAAGAGTCGTTTGGAAAATATTCAAAAGAGATCATCAATATTCCATCGTTGCAGCCACCAGCGTGTAATTCGGTATCCAGACGGCGCAGGGACACTGCCAATGACAATACAGTGAAAGGTGTCGAAGGCCTGGACGGAGGTACGCCAGCAACCATCGAGGTTTACAGCGGGCTATACGTGAACGAAGCCTCGGACATTGGTTCCAAGTCGGACTACTCCGAAGATGTCTTCAGAGAAAGGGTTAGTCCCATTAATATTCACCTCATCATATTCGCGGTTCTCGAAGAAAAAATTGGAGAAGAATCACAATCCAAAAATATATGTATTGCAATAGATATAGCTATATACTTGCTCTAAATATGAGAATATTTGACTGTCAACTAATTATCCATCTATTATAGATTATTAGGGAGTGTACGATGATGGATTCAGTATTAGTTTGTTAGAATGTCCCGCGATTCTAATATCAACTATGACATGGATGACAAAACAATGATCCTAATTCGAAGGCAGTTAGTTTACTAGAAAACATTTGAAACATTTTTTCCCGAAGTTTCGCACAGATCTACGAATATTTGTCATCCATTTAATTCACGTTTACGATACAATTTGCAGACTATCGACGATCCCAATGACATCTGTATATCGCAGAGGAGCTTCGCCATCGGCATCGCGATCGCGGGTCTGATCCTCATGCTGATGGTGGTCGCGGCTATTTTAGCATTGCTGGCCAAGAGACGACATAAGACTGTCTCGACGACGGGTTCATCGATCTACAGCGGACCTTACACGAACACAGCGTATAGTCACAGCAGTTAAGTTCGCCGGAACCTCGATATCCTCGTACAAACGAGGTGATTCGAATGAGAAGAAAAAGAAAGAAACGAGAAACTTCAGCCACATGGTAGCTGAAATCGAACGGTCGATCAATCGACCGATTAATGTCGAGAGGGAAATTTTTTTCAATTTGTTCAAATGTTGATTCTACGTTAGTCTCGATGCATCGAGGCGTAGAGAATTTAGGTGGATTTTTTACACGAGATTTTGCTCAACTGCCGACGCTATTGTTGCTTCTTCGAGAAAATAGCTCAGAGTCACGTGGTCAAATGTGATGGATCAAGAGGGTTGCAACACTCTGAGGCAGTAAACAACAAGCGAGATTTAGAAAGCTTCAGATTTGTTTCATGCTATTTTTAGCACTACTTTTCAATTTCTTTGAGGGAAAATTGTGAAAACATTAGGCACATTCGCAGCTCTTTCATTAAATGAAATTGAAATATCATTGGAGCACAATGAAGGCTAGAACGCGTTTGAAATAAAAAAAAATTTCTTCCATTCTACAAACTTGAATGTAACTTTTCTTCGAAAATATTAGAAGAAATTTAAATCCAAATTGAATCATAAAATATGCGTTGTATAGAATATTTCTTTAAAATTAAAATCGTAGTAAAATCAAGTGAAAGAACAATTTTTTCCGAGGAGAAGAGAGACTTTGATATAGATAATATTTCACGCTCCAAAAATAGTAAAACGTTTAATCTTTTTAAACCGTCAGAGCGACGTAGCCTCTTGATCAAGCAATCTCTGCGTATTTTATTCAAATACGTTTCTTGCCATCCGTTTAATAACTCGTCCAAACAACTACTCTTTCGATACTCCTCGAATTGTGAGATTGAATTGTGACTCCACGTGTTAGAAGTCTGAGCAGTTTTAGAAAAATCCTTAGCCTAGC